AAGGCCACCAAGATGCAGTAATTGCAATCAAACAGGCCATAATCGGCTTAAATGCCCTAGTAAACAGTCTCCTTCTTTATATAGTCAAATTCATTAAATTTGGTTGCAAAATGCTTCAAGATTTACGGTTGTGTTGGTGGTTGAATTTTTTTCTCGGGGACCGCGCAGCTCGGTGGTCCGCGCAGCTCGGTGGTGGATTACGTTAGTTAACTAACTTAACTAGTTAGTTAACTAAGTTACGAGTGCTTAGTCAGCCTAACCAAGCCTGTGAGGCCAACTTTGATAGTTCCAAGTCATGATTCTACTATTTGCACGACTACTTCTTGCGAGAGACCCGTTCTAGAAGTGACTGCCCGAATCACTTCCGTTTTCGATGAAATCCCTAGGTTCCTTGATATCAAGTAGGAAATGAGCACAAATTTCGCGATTATTCGCGACGTTGCTGCCGAATGACGAGCTTGGATGCAAATGGTGCAAACAATGCCACATTTCGCCAACCAACACCGCCGATATTACTACTCCGTCCGTATATGTTACTGACGTCTGGTACAGTCTGCAAGAAAAAAAAGCAAGGCTACTTCCAACGTCCACTTGGCAGGTGATACAGATGTAACAGGAACCAGTTGTTGAAAACGGAAGACGGAGGTCTTATCTTTTTTTTCTTTTTATTATTCTATCATTTGACAATAGGCGTAATTTGTATGCAACGTGGCGTCAGTTGTCGGTCAGTACACACATTATTCAATCAATCTCTACCTACCAGCTACATACCTAAGTACTGAGTACTGCAAGTGCAACTGCATATAAGAAGAGGTTTCCTTGACTTCCTTTTCTGAGATAAACCGCCGCAAAAAGAAAGAAAAAAGAAGCAGGAACATTTCTTTTACGATTTATGCCAACTGTCCTTGCGGAAGAATAGATTGATTGTCTGGCGGAGAGGGTGAGCGCTGCCTGGATATATCAATCTATCGCATCATGGCAGAGCAACCCTCGAAAAACGAACGTACCTGGCGGAAGTACTTCCCGGATGGTGATCTTTGGGTTTTTGGTTACGGGTAAGAGAAAGTCTCCAAGAACCTATATACATGTATACATTATTCGTTTATGGGATGAGCCTGTTATCGATTTATCCTTGTGAATGTCTTCCAATGTTTTGACCTTCCTTGGGCCTTCTTTCTTTCTTCCTTTCTTTCCCAGCTCCATTTGTATGAACGATATTTTTTGCCAGCATACCGATGGATCAAAGCAATAGGCTAACCGGGTTAATAATTACAGGAGTTTGATATGGAAACCACCACCTCATTTCGGTATGTAGCGTTGCGTTGCAAGCAAGCCAGCAGAGTGCGATAGTGTTCTCCAACATCTTACTGTTGCCCTTCGTTGCCAATCCTGGAGAGAATCCTGAAAGCTATACAGTAACTGTTCGCTGACTTTGTTTTCGCAAAGATAAACGAGTACCCGGCTATATCAGTGGCTACGTCCGAAGATTTTGGCAGGTTCGTTTTTTTCCCCGTTAGCTCACTGCTATTGCAGAATCATTTCTGCATTTGCGTAGTGTGCTTTGCACTGTCTGTTGTCATTTCTGCTGAGGATCCATGACTAACCTTACTACCTGTTACCTTTCCTCGTTTAAGGCTAGGTGCGATCTATCAATTCTTTTCTTCACCATTTCCCCCTCTGCGATTATGACCACCAGCCTTGCTCTTTTGACCCAAACAAAAATCATTGCATACTTGTTTGTAGGCTGACTTTTACATCTGCAAAGCGGTGACCATCGAGGGACTCCTGAATCTCCAGGACGCGTGGTGACAGTTATAGAGAGGTCTTTCTGGGAGACTCTGGACGATCCTGTAGGTGCTTTCTCCATCTAACTCCAAAAGAAAGTCCAAAGTGAATAACAAGAACCAAAAATACAGCAAAAAGATCTCGAATCATCAACGACTTCGACCGTCTGGGGCGCTGCCTACCATATCCCTGCATCCCATGCCGAGGAAGTCCACGACTACTTGGATGACCGCGAGATAGACGGCTACACCGTTCACTACACGCCCTTTTACCCCGTGTCTCCCCCGTCGTCCTCAGCTGTGTCGAGTACGAGTACCACGGCCTCGTCCACCTCTTCCGAAGGAGGTGGCGAAGTTACTGAGACCCATCCACCCACTTCTACTTCTATTTCCACGTTGAATGCCTCCTCTCCGATAACCTGCATGGTCTACATCGGCCTCCCCACCAACCCGCAGTTCCTCCGTGATCCGGCGGATCGCGACCCGGCAGCAGTGGCCAAGGTCATCAGCGTCAGCTGCGGCAAGAGCGGCAGGAATCCCGAGTACCTGTACCTGCTGGAGAAGGCACTCGAGGGCCTGGGCCTGGGCAGCGCAGACGGGCACGTCACGGACCTGGTCCGTCGCGTCAAGGCGATCGAGCGTGGCGAGGATGCTGCGGCTGAAGAGAGAAGGGCCGAACAGGAGGCGAAGCAGCCTCTGCCTGTCGATACACTTACCAATCATCAACATCCACACCAGCCAGAGACTTCTGACGAATTCGAATAGATGTGATATCTCATTTAGTTAGATTTGAGCAGGACATATCGAGAGATTCATTTCTTTTTGACCCTTTGTGCAGAGCAAGCAACATAAACCATACTATTACTCCATGTTCGAATAGAATACCAGATAAATAGCTAGTTAGTGACCTTGAAAGCAATAGCAGACAGTTGTCCGGCTATGTAAAAAGGGGAGAACAGATATAGAACGATGATCATATGCCTTGCAGGCTGTTATATTATCATAACGTCCAGTTGCGCAGCAGCACTAAAGAATTCTGGAAAGACCAAGTCATGACAATACATATGTAGCAAACAAAGCGAAAAGCATAAGACAGACTGATAGGACAAAGGGGGAAAAGAAAGGAATGAAAAAGGAAGGAAAAAGTGAAAGGATTCAAGACAGCACACATGAATAGTATCGAAGAGACAATAATGTCAGAGAAATATCATCTAGTATGCGCATGCGTTACTACATGATATCCGTGCCATTGTTAATCTCGTCACAACATCATGATCTTGTCCGTAATTCCTCGTAAAAGTCCTTCAGACATGATCCAACCACAATCGAGATCAACATGACCATAATTGGAGGCGAGTGATAAGACCAAGCAGGTAGCTCTGCCAATGATCACTGCCACACTCAGGCATTGCCTTGACCACCACCCTGGTTGTTGGAGTAATACTGGCCACCACCACCCCAGCCTGTATCCATATCGGTTAGCCAAGCCGCTTTTTCATACTGAGGAAATGAAAATCACTGGATTCTAGTCCAGTCTTCATCGAGACGCTTACCTCCGGAGCCGTACCCACCTAAGAGGTTGATTAGCCACGCAATATCAATGAAGCAAAAAGCTCATGGAGCCACTTACCGTATCCTCCCCGGTAACCTCCCTCGGAGCGATTGTAACCACCGCGACCGTGAAATCCACCATCGTTGCGCGATCCCGTGTTAGACGCTTTATCGACGCGGATGACACGTCCATCAAACCTGGAGAGGTCTCAGCCGGGTTGTCTGAATCGAACATGTAGAGCATCAAACCCACTCCTGATTGTTCATGGCATTGATCGCAGCTTCTGCCTCAGTTTCATTGGAAAATCGGACAAAGCCAAAGCCGCGACTGCGGTTGGTGTCCCGATCCTTGACAACAATCTATTGACGGCAAACGCGCCAAGCTAAGAATGAGTAACGAATTGCGGCACAACTGGGACCGTTTCTCGCTTGCTCGGGGAACTGACAGCTTCCTCAATTGTTCCATACTTTTCAAATCCTTGACGCAGCGTCTCGTCCGTTGTGTGCCATGCTAGGCCGCTTTTCAAACCATCATCAGTCAGAAAAGAACCCCATTATGCATATAAGGAGTGAACGGGAATGTCTGGCAGACCCGATGAAGAGTTTCGACATCGTCGCAGTTGTGGTGGGTACGCTAGTGGTCTTCGACAGCTTCAATCATCAAACAAAAACGGTCAGTGCAAGGAAACAACGCGGCAATGATAATCTCCTAAACGAATGTTGATCCGCAAGAGCGCGACGCGTCGAAGAAGAAAGGCTTTCAATCCTCAACTCGTCACCGGCACTGGTGCTCTCTTATGCAGGGAACAGGTAAGTGAAAAGGACGCGACGTATGAACTGACCTACCGGGGACACTCAAAAGACCTCTGCTGGGAAAGAAGTCAAAGAAGATCCTCCTCTGAAGCTTCTCTAAAGTATCAAAAACGGTGTAAAGATGACAAAACTGCCACACACATAATGAGATGGAATGATAGAGACTGGTAGGTGGGGAGGCAAGAAGAAAGAGGTCCGGCGAAGGGAGGGGTTGTGGGAGAGGTAGAGCCAGAAATCAGAGCAGGATGACACCACTGCCTATGATAGCGTGCCCTGCCAGGAGACTGGAGAGGGCTGATGCGCTAATCCTGGTGTGTTGCACACTTTATTCTCGATCCATTCAACGAACCCATTGTCTCTGGGCTCTCCCCATGTGTAGCCAGAAGGAGCGACAGGCAGGCTGTTAAGAACCTAGTGGAGCACCAGAGGGGAGGGGTCGTGCATGGATGTGCGATGGGGAAACTAGACATCTCGAATTCGACGGCCTTATCCCAAGACAGGCTGCCAGTGTACCTGAGGTCCTACTTGCTACCTGTTCTAAGGGCGGCCTTGCAGTTTGGGCCTGGACATACCGAGCTGGAGCACCATCCAGAGTGTCAGCAACGGAAGTCAATTATCAACCACGCCGTTTGATCTCTCTGGTACCAATAGTTGGGTAGAGCATCCATGATAAGCTTAAGCTGGCTGAAGATACGATACACTTGGATGCACGGTGCCCGAGGGAGGGCCTGCCCGTGCTTACTGCGACAGACAAACGAAGCTGAAAGGCAAAAAGCACCGAGGCCGCTGACTCGGCGAGGTTTCTCGTGCTCGGCAAGGATTCCAACCCCCATTCCCGTTTCAATGGAGCAGCAATTATGGCCTCCAGTCGCTATTACATCCTGACGAATGGTATGCACGGGGTTTGGCCCAAAGCTGCCGGCTTCTCCCTGTCAGTCGGACGCAATCTTAAAGGACGTTGAGGTTCTCGCATAGCAACGGTTTTCTAAAACCCTCCTATTCCTGAATTGTACGCCCGTTCTTTCCTGTCTTGTCTACCAGATATCGTCGACCAACTCTGCAGCCGGATAGCAGGGAAGACCGACCGGATAAAGCCGATGGATCAGCTTGGTGCATCACCTGAACGTGAAGGAAATGCTGCAGACTGCAGCTTGATGCGCCACTAACCCGGCCGGCAGTGGGGTCGACTGATCCTCGGCCCAATGACACCTGTACGCCGTCGTGATGTGACGAACCTGCTCTTTGAGGGTGCCATGTACGACTGAGATGACTGGAGCATACGTCTGCTGCTGTGCCACCAACATTTCTGTCCCGGCCTGTCCAACGTTTGGGTGTTCCCGGAAAGGAGGAGCGTGCGGAGTTAGGAGTTAGATGGGAGCTGATGCGGCGCCAGCAACTGCAGTGTTGCCCTTCCGTATGTTCGCGTGAGCATCGTTTGGAAACCAGCAGTATGATCCTATGCTCAGCCAGTGACCGTTCTGGGTTTTGTTTTCGGATCTCGGAAAGGGTGCTGGCTCTTCGAAGCTCCCCGGTGAGACAAGCGCAAAAAGGTCGTCGTGACCAGGCGGGTAAAAGATGTTCCAGCGCAGGTTAGCACTGCAGGCTCGCAGAGCCTGTTCCACTGTAGGATGAATGTTAATGCCTTCTGCGTTAAGCGACATTGTTATTAGAGTGTATTTGGATGACATGGAGGGGTTAAGCTCACCAAGTTTTGAGGAAGTCGACAGGCTGGCCGGGAAATCAGAACAGCCAAGCGAAACGAGCCAACCACGTGTATTTCTGCCATGGAGTCTCCGTGGACTAAATCAGGATTATCAATACCAAAGACAGCAACCTCTTGAGTCCTGGAGATTTCGTTGCGGTACGAGGTGAGCATGGCACAATCAGGTTGTCCACAGGCACCTCTGCGTGGTTTCCCTATCTAGATCATGGATGTACCTGTCTCAGCACCTTCCTGCGATTACTTGAACCAGGCTCGACGCTGTCTCTTTTGGAACTGTCCATAAGAAATGTCACAACCAAAGCTTCCTGTGCCCTGTTGATTAAGTTGTCCTGTCAAAAACAGAAGAAGTAAGTTTCAGACACGCCTCAAGATATTCAATCCGCTCACTGAAGAGAATACACAGGGCTTCGTACATAAATGTTATACTAGCAAGTGATGGACCTTGTGAAGAGACGATGCATACATCACTGGCTGCAAGCAATAGATGCGAAGCGTGATCAAACCAGCTCCTTCGATGCTCGAAATCCAGAGGCTCATCTCAATTATACAGACTGTCGGATGGCAACAGATATGAGAAGGACAGAGATTGTGGCTACGGAGAATGAGAGAAAACATGGTAGCTTGCGAAGATGTCCTTTTGACTTTACTTCAACAAAGACCCCTAGGGTGTTCTGTGCTGACTGGCCCATTCCCAAGAGAACGAAGCCATCGCCTTTACTTCTGCATCCGGTGTTCAGCCACACGCCTCAATTACAAGTGTTGGTGGAGATTCAGGCATTCCAAAAGTCGAAACAGGGCTGCAAAACAGGTATGAGAGGCAGCCTCGACGGAAGACCAGGAAAGACCGTTACGAGCCAAGAACCGGGCCAGTCGGGGAGACTGCAGATGTTGCTATCAAAGATACAAAGAAAAGAAAGCTCGTCGGGAGAAAGAACAACAAGAATACCTGGATTAGCGAGAGGTTCAAAGCTACAAACGTTAGGCAAGGTCGCTTGACAGTGAGCGAAAACGAGCCTCTTTGGGTATTTACACTGATCGTTATGTAGCTTCATTCCAACAACAAACTAGGTATCTTCAAGAAAGGCAAGACCTCTTCACCGGTTCAACCACGAGAGAGTGAGTGATATCAAGTCTACTGCTATCATTTCAAGTCGCTGAATCTCGGATATGTTGAACCAGTCCCATATCTAAATTTTTCGGAGGCTGCATTCCTTTCGAAGGAATCGAAATATTTTGAGAAGGACACTCAATCGGTCAATCCAAAGGGCCAGAAGGAGCCTTCTGAACGAGAACCACAGAAAGACTTTGCTCACCGCTTCAGACCGTTTATGGACCAGTCTCGAGATCAGCATACCGCACCGCTGACACTTCATGCAACTGCCCTTGGTGTTTCGCCAACTGAGCTTCCCTTAAAAATTGACAGTAATGACCGTAGCAACTTGGATACTGAACAATACACAGAGCCCAGTCGACCGAATACCAGTGAGCGAGATAGCGCTCAGCCACCTCTTGACCCTGCCATGGAGCTGTACGTTCGAAATGTCCTACGGGAGTGTCGTGAGTTAGAAGATTCACAGGAAAACGGCCACCTGAATGTGCCATCGCGTACATTCTATACTCTTGATGACTTGAAAAGACTGGCCGATTCACGCGAACAACTCCGAATCTCAGACAATTCTAATGGTGCGGTACTCCTCTTTCCTAAGAAACATAGAAACGTGCCACTGTGAGGGAGAGCTGACATTGGATGCAGGTCACATTTGTAGGGAACCTTCTGTAGTTCCTTACATGCGACTCCCTGGGGCAAGCGTGTTTTCCCCAGGCTCTGATAATCCGGAGGCGGTTACAACTGCGTCTGCTCAGGAGATCCAAGACACGGGTTCCATTGGCAAAAGAGCACATTGGAAAAGAAATGGAGACCTTCAAGTACAACGGATAGGCGATGAGAGCGAATATCCCAATCCACACGAGCTCGAAGCTCTCTTGATGGCAGATCACGAGAAATTACTGGAACTCTATGGAGACAATCCAGCCCTTGGCAATCAAAACGAGTTTTCTTCTCTGAACTTGCGGACGCCAAATGAAGTTTTAATGGAGCTACTTGTCCAACCTTCCGATTTCAGTGAAGCTATGGAGCTCGAGGATGTGGAAAACAAGATCGATACAGCCCCTTATGACCTTGATGAAGCTAATATCCGCTTCAGCGATACCTCAGGAGACCTTCGAGAATTAACTGAGAATCTCGAAGATCTAATTCCGCTGGTTCGAAATAGTGATGATTCCTTCGGCATTCAAGATGATCTTTACGATTTGACTCACAAGTCCCGCATGGCTTCGTCTAGTCCCCACAGCAAACCGCTTGTTAATCAGGATAGTTCTGATAGATGGCAACCATCAGGAATCCAGATCCGGTCAGAGAAATTACTGCATTCTACCTATCTCCGATCAGGCCAAGACCGCGAGTATGGCATTATCCCAGATGGAAACCATCCACTCTTGTGGAGTTTACCGACGCAATCTAGCCGTCAGTTTTCAAGATTGCCTTTGCCTTGCTGGACAACTGAGCGGCCTGTTCCGTCGCTGCTTCAACGGGACGAGCCCACACGATCTCAGTTGGCAGGCACAAGTACCGAACTACGCGGATTCTGGCGACAGAACAACCTGTATTGATCATTTGAACTTTCAATGAAATTGGCGGCGCGAAGTATAAATTGGACCCTTGGATCGAATAATTTCTAGTGTCGAATTCACAAAGCGGTCAAGTACTGTTGGTGTTTCAAGCATTGGTATAGGACAACATTCAGATTGGAATGGTATTGCATACGATATATATTTGTCCAACAATGTCAGACCTCCAGCGTAATATTGACAACCAAGTTTATTTTTTATTTCTTTTTATCAGTTCTGTGACAGACAACTAAACCAAAAAAAAATGCTAGCACCTGAAATGAGCTGGCCAAAATGCTATAATCCCTAACGGCTAGGGCTGAAAACTTCAGGTGCTTAGTTGGCATTGACTTGTCACTAGCAAGCGCGGTACCATTGGTGAAGGTGTTTTCTCTCCGGCAAGGCAGTTTCCTTAAGTCTTGCGAGAACATTCGAAAACTCGAGACGATCAATTGCATTGTTTACGAAGCACGGCTGCAGCAAAGTCGACAGAAGCGGTACGCACACAACTCGCAGGAGAACAAGGCGTACACCTCTGACGTCGGGTGGCTGGGTGGACTCGTTTCTGAAGTCTCATTTTTTGGGCTAGCACAGTGCATACTGCGTATACCGTGCTAGGCATCGCCGACACTGGAGAGAAGACTACGCCTCAGCCGGGCTGCAGGGGTCCTGCATGATTCAGGGGAACGAGGCTGTTCCTGGTAGTGAGGGCGATGAAGGGCATTTCCACCTGGGACGTATCGACCAGCAGGCGGCTTGAATCCCCGCTTGCAGTGTTCCACAGACAAGGTCGGTCGTAATAATCCTCCGCTGAGGTGGTTTCCCACCGCAAACCCGAGGGGTTGGGGCGCTACGGCCGGGGAACAGGGAAGCGTTCCGGCCGGCGCGGCCAGGGAACCGGCAGCACGGACACCGTCATGTCACGCAGGTCACTGGCCCATGGCTCTGGGTCACCGCTGGCACATGCGGCGCAGTCCTCCCAACTGCTGCTTCCTTCGTGGACTGCGAGCTTAGGTCGCCCAGCCTCGATCCTGCAGATTCCAAATCCAGATGTGCCCCGTTACGATTGGGCCAATGTCGAGTCCTTGAAAATTTTCCACGACTACGCACGCGCCTTGGACGCGAAGACGGGCCGCAGTCCCGGATGCACGGCAGGATGGTTCCTGCTGCTCGATTTGCAGGCATGGCTCATCTGCCTATGATGGCGTCATGCATCGATCCATAATTTATCTCAGTGAGTGCTGTGCTGTGCTCCTCTCCAGAGCGGTGAATGTTGACCAGGGTCTATAGAGATGGTGTTGCACGGGAACGTCAGGAAGCTAATGGCGACACACGGTCGGGCCTGTGCCGTCTAGACCTACAAGGAAAGCAGAATGACATCGTTAAGTTACCAGAGCAATGGCTCGAGTTCTAATCCTGAAAGCCAGACAACGGGCTGGTCTTGATTCATGGCGAGTCCACAAAATGCGCTCGCGCAATACTGAAAACCTCGTCTGTTGAATAGCCTCCCAGCGCAGTGGAACAGTGGCGCTTACCCCTCTAGCCCCAACAGTCAGCTTGCAGAGCGACTGCATGCGCCGGGCTCGGCCTCCGTCTGCCTGAGTGGTCAATCATGAACTGGCCCGAGATCTACGCTGTATATGAAACGTCGGATTGCTCGTTTCGAGGATAATTCAAGCCTTCTGATCACAAAAACAAGGCACTAGCATATGAGAAGGTTTTTAGCTGCAGCTGACGGTCTCATAATCTTGCCAGCTCACCGGGATCCTGGCAGCGGTTGATAAGTCATTAGCTCTTCCACTTCACCTCCGCAAAGCCAGCCGGGTATTTTCTGTGCCTGACGGCCAACGGGAAAGCCCGCAGGTAACTAAAAAAATTCTCAAACTGCTCGCTGGAGGTTAAGGGCTCTGAATTGTACCGCACCGGTGCAAACAGGCAGCAAGCCATCTTCATTCCGGTCCTATGAGAACGTACGAGACCCTTGAGTTTCCTGCGCTTTTGACGTTGCCGACAGACTGCAGTCTCCACACACGCCTCTTGAGCGGAGAATATACTAAGTATTCTTCCTGCGCCTGCTTCGAGAGAAGCCGGGCTGACAGCTTGCTATTGTTGGACAACAAAGGGTCTTTTGTCCTCGTTCTCTATTGTGAAGCGCTATGGGAGTTCTTGGAGGATAGGGGAAGGGGTCCTTCAAAGACTTATCCCGTTGTTTCCGCCTCGCCAGGGTTCTCAGATAACAATCCTCAGCAGAATTAGTTGCAACAGCATTATCTACGTGGTCCCCAATTCCGAGATACTAATCCAAGGGTCAACTTTTTAAGTTCGACCGCGCGTTCCCAGCATAGTGGTCGCAACTGGCGGTGAGCTCAGCTTCTGGTAATCAAATAAAACTCAGATTGCAATGAGGTTCATGAGCCCTTGACCAGTTTATTGGGATCGTCAGGCGTCCCGCGTTGCTGGGTGGTCGTTCTCTCGCCCGTTTCATGCTACCTGGATCAACGGAACGCGATTCCGAACATGGCCCGGGGTCTGGATATTACTGCAAAAGGAAAATTCGGCCAGCACCGGATTGTGTCAAGCAAGCCTAGTCTCTTTCACAGCCATTCCTATCTCTGTGGTACTTTCTGGTGCAAAATCTCCGAGGAAGAAGAACACTATTTAAACAAACAAGCATTATCTTCTAGTGTCTTCTCTATCATCCCGCCAAGCTACCTACTTGAAAAATCATGACGAGTTCGGAGCCAATATTTTTCTCACTGCGGAGGTTGTTTTGACTGATTTGTCCTAATAGTAAATGCCGCTATCCCATGAAACATGTTATAGCTTTGACTGATGTTGAACGGCTTTGTAGACGTTTGAACCACCACCTCATCATCAGCGATAGCAATGGCTGGGGAAAAGTCAGGACTGACTGAGAGCATTCTTGCTCTACACAATCGAAACTTCGTCAATGTGAGCACAAATCCATCCAGCACCTTGCTAAACTTGACTGATGTATGCATGTGTACATTTGACAGGATCCCAACGCGCCCAACTCCTGGGCTCAGAAAGTCGTCACCGAGGAAAAGATCCATCTATATTATTCGCACCTTGGTCAGCGCCGGATCAACCGCGGGGATCATACTGTCAACGGCATCGAGTGTTTGACACTAGCCCCTCAGGGCCAGCCTGAGAGACCCCTCGATGATATGGAACCGCAAAGCCAGGACACCACCGATGCCGATTTGAAGATCTTCCAGCAGCTAAGTATGCACATTTCTTCACCGGAGGGACCATTGGAACGGTTCCTTACACCGGATGGGTGCAGCGACCCTTCATATTACGCTCGACCCGCTCTAGAAAGAACACAAATAGCATTTGGCAGCATGGAAAGTGTTGGTGAGAGACGGCGGAGGGCTCAGGCAAATATGGAAATGGTCATTCAGAGAAAAGGAGAAGAGGAAGGAAGTCGCAGAATGATTTGCAATTCATTTTGCGTTGAGCGGCCTGGTGCTTCTCTATTTCCTTCCTCGAATGTTGCATGAACATAAAAGTTGGTCTTCCTTTTTCTTTATTTTGTCGAAATGATTGTTTACTACTAACTCAGGTGTTGTTATCTTTCTAATCAGACAGAAATTGCATAAAACGGAATAATGATGTGTCTAGTTAAACTTGCCTCTACCACGGTACGGCTGAACTCAATTACAAGCACCGTTAAGGTTGTCCCCGTTGGGCGGGCCGTGCAGTCTCCGTACGGAGAAGATACGATTAAATTATAGAGCTGCCTCCCCCAGACCTTAGCTAGAGTGAAACAACCCCGAATAGGTACCTATAATAACCGGTTAGACCCATCCATTCGGAGAAATTAAGAGTTTGCTGTCCACCACCACCACAACAACTACTACTTCACGTAGTGACGTCACTACTTGAAAGTCAGAAGCACCAAGTCTGGCAGGCCATTTTCAGCGGTTTGCCGTCCAGCTCGTTTGTGTAAACGGAGTGGCTGTGTGAGGAAGAAATAAGGTTAGTAGCTACCAGAGACTTCTTTTTTCCCCCTAGTCTTTACGTTGATACTCAATTGATTGTTTCTCCTATAATCGTAACTTGTCACCTAGGTATCGCTTATCAAGGAGTGATATTGATATCTGTAATAGTCGTGTCTGTATATTTAATATCAGCATGTATACTGCCCCTAGAATATATTTGTGAACGTCATCTCAAACCAGTACGGATTAGTGCAGTACATACAATGCCTCCAAGCATCGACGTGCATGATCGAAAGTCGAGAAGATGGCAAAAAGACAAGGCACAAGGGAAAAGTACTACTAGTACCGCCTCATTTTGCAGCGCAGAGCCGCAATCCCTCAGCTGTGCATTAAGGTTCAGGTAGGCAGACTCGTCGGCTCGTTGGGTAGCAATGTTCTTGTGCCTAAGGCGGAGCGAAGTTGAGCCCTGGCAGACTTGAACATGTGACTGGAGGAGCCATTGGCTTTGGTCTAGCTTGGATAATAGGCCTTTTGAGAGGAAGAGAGAATGAAATGAAGATGTGTGAGAATAATGGGGTGTATTGTGGTTTTTCCTAACTTCGATCTCCAGCCCTAATAATTGATGAATTTCGATCATCCAGCATTGAATATTTTCCCTTCTCTATTTCTTTCTTTTAAAATAAAGAAATAAAGGGCTTTTCACTTACCAATTCTTCGTTCATTATTAGGAATAAAAGAGATTAAGCAAAGCTCTTCAGGCCAGTTGCTGAAAACAAGGCTGCTCTATGCTAACTAAGGGCGGTCAGCTGGTCTGCGGTTCCTTTTTCGGGAGAGTCAATGGCCCGTCTTTCCTGGCAGGTACTTAAGGTTATCCCTCCCGGCTTACTACGAGGTGAAAAACCGGTGCCAACGCGTCCCCATGCATCCTCATAGTCATATCCATACACGTATCATGTACTAACGTCTAGCGGTATCCTGAAATGGCTTCCGCTGGTCACGAATACAATGGTTGCGACTCATGTCTTTCATCCGGACTAAGCTCGCACCTCACCGCATGGGCAATAATCCCGTACTATACTGTCATTCTGGCGAATATATTAGGGCCTGCTTTCTGCCTGTTGTCCCCATGATCTATCCGTCTGGCATTCCCTATTCTCGCTTCCTCCGGCAGATTCAGACAGGTCTCTTCAGGTACGGCTGGGTACCGTTACTGCTCTCACAACTTCTGCACAGCCTCTCGCATACCCCCAACTCTGCCACCACAGAAAGACCCCATGAACGAAGAAGGTTTGAATTAGTCTGATCTTTTGCAGGGGTCTCAGAGAACCACATATAAAGACACCGGCTTCTCTCTCTTAACAGCCTTCTCCAGTCCTCGACAAGTTCAGGTACCGCTCTCATGTCTCGCCATTATTACTATTGTTTATTCTAGGCTCTCATTTCCATAATGACCTATCACAGATCGTGGATTGGATTAATCTATTGTCTTTGCTGATACGGCCACAATAGGTTGTCTTCCTTGCTCTCAACTCGGGCCAACTTGCGGGTTGCGGCACCTTGGATGGATCAATTGATGGCCCAGAACGATCCCGGTGCAGCTTGATACAGTCCACAGTCTTGAATAGTGAAGGACCTTTGCTATTTTTCTTGCCAGGATTATTTCAATCGCGCCTGGAGGAAAGCCCTTGGAATGGCCAATTCAACCGCCGGAAATTGGTACCCATCCACGGATATGGATTCCCAGCAGGATTATGGCCTCAGACCTGGCTATGGAGACTTTCATCTGCCTTCCAGCCTTGGACATTGTGATGATACCCAGACAAGCCATGTCCCACAGGATTTCACCTCCATGGAGCAGTCCTATGTTGGCCAGTTGGATTCCAGAAATGATCCTCTCCGGATGCTTGACTCACAGTCCTCCCCAGTTCAGTGCTCTGGGTCAAGAGCATTTGTTTCTCTCTCATACTGGGGTCCAGCTGTCCATCATTCAGCTGCATACCCAAATTGTCTCACATCTCTTCCAGAGTCCCGTCCTGTTGAACAAGCAGTCCAGTCGCAAGCTCCAGATCGATGGCTTCAGACACAAATCTGCCAGGCCTACACTAATAATGCTGGACTTATTAATGCCAGTGAGACTTCGAACCTGGACATATCCTGTCTTGTCACAGACGCTTCCGGCCAAGTTCTTCAATCGTCGGAAAATCTGAACTTTAAAAACCAGCGACTTCCCAATGGTATTCCGCGTATTCGAGTCGGCAACGGTGAAATGCCCTGGCAAGATATGCTCAGGCAGAACTGGTTCAATTCATTGGAGTCACAAAGGTTTCAGCCGCAGCAAATCGGTGGATTTGCCGGTTCATTCGTAGGAGAATTCCCAGCAGGTCCGTCAAGATCGACTGATAATTCTAGATCGCCTACGCGCAATTTCGCAGGTAATAACCCGCCAGCTGGAGCTTTTTCCTGACTCTTCACAGTCATCGATCTGTGGCGACTTTGTGGAACTGAATGCTGACCGAAGTAAATAAAAAAAATATATAATTCTAGGTGCACAACAAACCAACTGGATCCATCAGAACCGTGAAATCCATTCCAGAGGCTCGCGCACATCGGAATTTTACAATCGGTTGAACAGGTCCTCCGCCATGCCGCGAGCGACTCAGGCCTTGACACCTAGCGCTGCTTCCACACAATCGACCTTTGACTCCATTCCGGGTTCTTTCATCTGGGATCCGGAATCTGATTCTCTGGTAGAAGAGACTAGATCCAGACGTCCACAAAGCGAGGACCAAAAGGCTCACAGAAGGAAAGTCAGAAATGCCGGAGGAGCATGCACCCGATGCAAAAAGTACCATCGCAGGGTATGTTGTTAATTGCCTTGCTTTTTTGTTTTTGTTTTTTTTTCCTTGTGCTCTGCTGACCTTTTTTTTCCCCTCTTGATGATAGTGCGAACACGCCTTGCAGCGTAGTAATCAAGGTAATGACTTTCTCTCAAAATCTGTCCATTTCTCTGTGGCGAGACTGCATTATCTACAGAGACGCTTTGTATCTGACATAGCTCATTGCTGATGACAAATAGCTGGGACAGCACGAAGAAGTCACAAATCCTTGACAAATTCGGCAAACGGGCGACGACGACAACGTCACACCTCAGGCAACAGACATGGCCAATCTTCAGCTGGATTCGGAGATGATGCAAGAGGGATTGGTGATATATTCGGGTTAGTAGTTCTATTATCTACACGAACGTGGAGGGCGAAAGCTGTTTCTGACTGCGTTGTGGTAATTCTTTTTTTTAGCACGTCTGAGATAGCTTCACCGATGCAGAACCATGGAGGAGACCCAATTCTCGAACAGCTTTCATCTGTGGAACTATCACTTGAGCCAGTATTTCCTCCCAGTCAGGGCGACGGTAACCAAGGAGCGTTGTATGCACGCGGTTTCACCAACGACGCCGCCCAGATGGGCAACTGGGCTGCCCCGTCTTCGACTGAATTTCGGTGACTCGTTGAAGTCATCAGCGTTGTTATTTTTTTTTGGGCCTCGATTTCTCTTTATCAAGGGACTCTGGGTGTAATGTTTGATGCATCAATTTCTACGGTTGGAGGCGTGTATGGGAATGTTTTGATTTGGGTTTTCATTATTGGTATCTCTGGTTCTGTGTCTGGGTAAAGGTACAGGCGTACGGTGGGCACCGGGCAATGGCATTCAGGATACGATCAACATCGTCAGAGAGAGGCTGCGGCAGCGACCCCAGTTGTTCGGAACTCGGCTTTGTTCGTCATGACGACTTCGATGGGATACTTCCATTCCATGAACTTTGTCCAACCTGTTGAGGGGATATGGAAGTTAGCCCTTGTCATATATTTAATGTGATAATTATATATCTCGACTAATTCCCCCTTCTGCATGACGATGACATACCCCAGTAGGCGCATTTCCTGCCGAAATATTTCCCGATAAACGGGACGATGACCATCGTCAACAGCAACTCCAGCTGTTGAATGCTCTCTCTCCACTGCTCCTCCGCGTCCGAGTAGCCCGACAGACTCAGATCGTCCTCCAGGTCCGACTCTGCAGTGGTTTCTGACGGCAACGACGCAATCTCCTCGTCGGAGGACGACTGGTATGAATTATATGTCGAGGGGACCATATAGGCCGAAGTGGAGGGGGATGGATTCGAGAGAGACGCGGCGGAGGCAGAAGGCGAAGACATGGCGATTGAGAATAAAACAGGATCGAATAATGAAGGTAAATGAAAGGGTATGAGAGCTATGGACGAGATAGATATAGCAAATAGCTTCTCAAGCACGAGGGGTATAGCAATGGCGGCAGTCTCCTACCGCGCCGGACGAGATTGGATCATCAGTCGCCTTTGTTCGCTTCGTTTGGTACTCTGAATGGGCCTGGCAGGTTCTGAGAGATTCGGGGATTATCAAGCAATCCAGGCCCTAGAAACCCTTTGTTCTGGATAGAGTGAAGTCACGTCGATATCGCAGCTCAGTCAACAAGGCCGTCCTGCGCGCTCCGCCGACGTAACGGATGGAGATGCCTATCACGTGACGCAGATAATTACGGTAATACGGTGACGGCTGCCAATCAGAGTGACTCAGCAGGGCACGTCACGTGTCGAGGATGGAGTCGGTGGCTGTTGTGACTAATTAATTTCCCAGAGGGACAGATTCTGTTATCAAGAAAACAGCCGATTTTCCAGACAGTCTTAAATCCGCAAGACTTCCCATCTAGCAGCCGATTTTTACGCGTCGAAGAGTCGATTTCCAGATCGGTGGTGAGCGTGCAGTGTTGTTCTGCAACCCCCTTCTCAAGCATGGCGGAAACTGTACGTCACATACTTTTGTTTCCCCGTCCTTTTGCCGACGAAAACCCTCCCACAATTTTCAGCGGCCCTCTCCAAATACCTACTACTTACTACATGTAACCCCTCACACGGCAGACGCTTCGCCACCTACCTACCCACCTAACCCTACTCAGGAGGAATCCGTCTTCGTGTCGAAGCACCAGACTACGTGATCTGCTTTTTTTTGAGATTTAATTACTGACTGCAATTTTTCTCTGTGCGTCGTCCTGCAGGAGGTCGCCAATCCCACCGAGAAGAAACCACGGAAATCCGTCGCCTTCAGCGAAGGGACCACCATCATGGATGAGAACGGGGAGGTCAGGGAGGCCGTTCACGTCGAGAAGAACACGGCCGAGAAGCACACTGCCGGTAGGTTCCCTTTCTCAAGTCACGCCACCTGTAGCAGTATGATGTATCTGCGGTATCTAACTCGAGCAGCTCCTCCAGACAAGGAAGTCGATGAGGTGACGGAACTGTTCAAGGGCCTGGGCAAAAAGAAGAAGTCGAAGAAGCCGAAGGATGCAGAGGGAGAGGAAGGTGGTGCTGGTGGTGAAGAGGCCACGCCGGCGGCAGACGGCGAGCTCGATCTCAGCACGGTGAAGAAGAAGAAGAAGAAGTCGAAGGATGCAGAGGCAGAGGAAGGCGGTGCTGGTGGCGAAGAGGGCGCACCGGCAGACGGCGAGCTCGATCTCAGCACGCTCAAGAAGAAGAAGAAGAAGCCGAAGAAGGCCGACGTGGGCGACTTCGAGGCCAAGCTGGCCGAGGCCGGTGTGACGGAGGAGGGTGCCCAGGAGAAGGGCGGTCAAGAAGAACTACCAGAGGGCGACCTCGAGGCCGGCACGGGCATCTGGGCGCACGACGCCACGCAGCCGATTCCCTACCAGTTCCTCGTCACGCGGTTCTTCTCTCTCATCCAGAGCCACCACCCGGATCTGCTGTCGAGCGGGTCCAAGTCGTACAGGATTCCGCCGCCGCAGTGTCTGCGTGAAGGCAACCGCCGGACCATCTTTGCCAACATTTCCGACATTTGCAAGCGCATGAAGCGGTCGGACGATCACGTCATGCAGTTCCTGTTCGCGGAATTGGGTACCAGCGGCAGTGTCGACGGCAGCCGGCGTCTGGTCATCAAGGGTCGTTTCCAGCAGAAGCAGATCGAGAACGTGTTGCGACGATACATTGGTATGTTCATTACATACATAACCTCCAACATTGTATGCGATAGTTGCTGACATTTTCCAGTTGAATACGTCACCTGCAAGACCTGCCGAAGCCCCGACACGGAACTGAACAAGGGAGAGAACCGTCTCTACTTCGTCACCTGCAACTCGTGCGGCTCGCGTCGTTCCGTCACGGCCATCAAGACCGGTTTCCGTGGCCAGGTCAGTCGGAGGAAGAAGGCTCAATGAAGGCCCCCCAGTCGCAACTTGCCTGTACCTATTTCACCATTTATTCTCTCTTCCTTTCCTCGGACCTTTTTTTTTGTTTGTTTGTTCCTTATTAAAATCTCGTTTACGCCTCTGTGAATGGAATGGATGACAATCAAGCTTTTGTCCTTGTCTGGTTATTTTTTATTTGATTTATTTTATCGGATGCAATGCAATGTGTGTGATGTGATGTGACCATGAATCACTAGGGAGGAAAAGATAAAGAAATAAATGGCATGGCACGACTCGAGAAATATTTATTTTATTTTGTTGGGCTGATATCCCGCTGCTGCTGGTTTTTTATTTCCCTTTTCCCTCTTCTTTTCTTTTTTCCCTTTTCCCTCCATATTACATAGACCAATGCATGACAATTTTTTCCCATCCTATCTTATATTGTCTCTGTGTGGGGGGCTCTTTGCTGTGCTTTTTCTCACATCATTTAATTGCATTCCGCAATCAATAATACTCTCCTCGTCATGTCTCGTCTAGTCTCTTCTGACAGCTTGTCTGTCTGTCTGGCTTCACTACTCAAATCAAACACGCAGGGTGGAATGGAATGGAATGGAATAAATAGCATTGCATTGCATTTGGCTTTACTGTTGCATATGTCGTAGGGAGTGTGACTCGAGGATTTAGATATACCATTAATGGAGACGAGACATAGACATAAACATGGAAATAGACACGGACATATGTCGACAAAAAAATCTGCTTCCTTCTTTTTTTCTTTCTTTTTTATATTATTACAAGTAGGATTCAGATAGATAGATACAAAAAGATATTCGGTATTGATGGGATATATAGATAGAACAAGTTAAACAACACCCTTGGAAACAAGACGAATCATTGACATCAACCAAAACATTGAAAAATGAGGTACATGCTTGTAATATATCAACACGTGCGCCTGCAAATGTAGTCATCATACATACATACCCGAGAGACTCGCTCTCTTCATTCATTCCGAATCATTCTTCATCCATACGTATGTAGATATTTAAACGTCCGCTCATCCGCTGGCAGTACTAGCCCCAATATGGGCTGCAAACGACCCAATGTTTCTCGTCTGCAAGTACACCGTTCCTGGACCCGTAAAGCGACAGACCAGTCCCTCGCCGGAACTGAGTCCGGAGATGATCCCGCCTGAGGCTGCGCGTTCCATCCTGTACTTGCAGTTCCAGGCTACGAGGTGGCCATTGTCGATGTAGTACTCTTCGCCTTCGACGAGCTGTTGGTTGATGATCAGTTAGATCAGCCGTTCAGAAGACAATATGGATGATGATGAACCACTTACATCTTTTTTGAGAATCGCACCAAAGCTCTGTATCCACACCAAGCCCGTCCCTGTCATCTTGTAGACGAATAGACCCTCTCCCGAAAACATCGCCTTGGTCAGCCCCTGGGCCTGGTAGTCCTTGTTGATGCCGCTCGTCGCTGCCAGGAAGGCATCCCTGCCCACCTTCCATGTCTCTGAGCCGGTAAAACGCAGAACGGCAATGTCGCCCAGCACGGACGGGGCAAGCAGCAGCTCGCCGGGGCCGGTGTACGTAGAGTGGGCCATCTCTCCGCCCGCGATAAACTTCTTCAGACTGATCTTGATGGAGCCCTTGAGCGTGATTGTTGTGGACATGGCGATCATGGCACCTGCAGTTTTTGGATCCTGTTAGGCTAGACGAACTGCTAGGACGGCAGCAGCAGGGCCGACCTACCAGGCTTCGCGACGATCGGACACCCCATCGCCAACTGGATCGTCAAGAGCGAATTGCTATCCCGATGACTGATCCGGTAGCTACCGCCATTGAACGTCCCGACATCGTCGGCATTCGTCGACGTCACTCCGGTGAATTTGCCATATGCCGGCGCACCCCCAGGGTACTGTTCCATCTTGCCCGTCGGCGGAGGAGACATGGGGGGCGGCGATATCATGGGCGAACCCAACGGAGCCTTCTCATACGAGGCCGCCAGGGCGGCATTGATGGCGGCAGGTCGTCCATTGGGCTGGGCCTGTGGCGGTGGACTCGTCGTAGCGGGTCGACTTTCCGGGGCAGGATACGCGTTCTGGGGAGGAGGGGATTGCGGAGGCGGAGGGCTGAAAGTCACAGGAGGAAAACCCGGAGAGGTTAGGGGGGGAGGCGGAGGGGGAAATGCTAGTAGACGTCATGAGCGATGCTTCTTGACTATGATATGCGAAGATGATGGGAGAATTACTTGCGGATCTGGGGGGAGCTGCTCTCAGATCGAACTATCAGTCACAGCTTTCCCAGTTTGGTTGCCATTGCATTGCTCAGAAGAGACATACGAGGAAATTCTGATCCCTGGGAGGAGGGAGGAGGGGGGTATTCTGCTTGCGACATGATTTCGAATTACGTGGAGAAACGAGAATTGGCGTTCACAGAGGCCTGCTCTGTCGTGTCTATATATATATCGCCAGGAAGGGTTATGTGTAGTTCTGCAAACTTGATGATGGGCTATATAGATATCAAGGGAAGGAACACTGGAACGGATGAGGAGCAACAGTCCTGACTTCTCAACTGACAGCTAGCTTGCAGAGCTACATATTTCAGACTGAGAGGCAGCCATTTATTGCCTGCCAGGATCGCCAGCCCTGGACGTGACAGCGACGGCGGGATGCATTGCCCCTCCGTCTAAGCTGGGCGGGCGCTAAGAGACGGCGTGGGAGAGGCTCGCCCGCCTGCGGGGACTGCGGGAGAGCGCATCCGCCGCGCGTGATTGGCGGGCGCTGGGCAGGGCAGCAGACACCTGCACGCCAATCGAATATCTGCCAGAGGGGGATTCCATAATTGGCACTCTGCGAGAGTTGCAGGTCATTGGGAGAAGAGAAGTGAAACCAACAGTTAGCATACTGGCTAGTTGACCCTGACTGTTGCTCTTGAAACAGTAACCATTGCTGTTGGTATGGTCCCATGCAGAAATACCTTGATAGTATGACAGCAGTATATTCATGAGTACACTCGCCTTCTACCAAACTTGGTAAATGCGACAATTGACTGTCCACTTCCAATAGAAATATTTGACCTAGATATTTCTCTCTGCCTGTTATATCTAAGGCGACGTAATTGGTTGCCTCATGCCCCTCAACAGAGTCCTCGAATCGCAAATCAGCCCTACAGTTTCCTCAGGAGATGCTGCACCTCAGTATTCCCTCTACTGGCTCGGAAGTTCGGCGAATATCCACAGCTGCCTGACAGGTCCGTCAAGACAGAAGTCCCCGCATGAGTTATATTCCCGTCATACCAAGGCGGAGGTTTCCAAAACTAAAGACAGACAGGATATGCCAGATAGGGAAGGGGAAAACATAAGGATAATCCTTAATAATCTCGACTTAGGAGACGGTTCGAGAAGTGAATATAGGAAAGCACACGGGAGAAAGAGAGAAGAGACTGCGTACTGCCTGCAGATACCATCGCAATGGGGAATGGCTTTCCGTCATGGGTCATGAATGTATCCCTTCAGCATCGCACTCAGGAGCATGTCTCAGACGTTCGACACAAGTCTTTCAAGGCCAATCTCATCACGCCGGATTTCATCGCCCAGTCTATTCAACCTGAAGGATGGCAGGAGTCCACATGTCGCTCTATGCTTCTCGTCCGTTCCGGGCATAAGTCGAAGTCGAATTTTATCGTGAACGTGACCCTCCCAGAGGCCTGTTTTTCTTTCGAATGGCAACGCGTTTTCGTTTCCGGGTGTTTCATCTTCCAGCCAGATCCGAGTGTTTTGGGATGAAACCGTAAATGCGATCGAAAGAAACCCGCAAGTAATGCATCCTATCCATAGTGCCAGATCATCAACGCCGCCAACGCCGTCCCGATAATGCGCAATCCCCGCCCGATCCCATTTCAGCATATTCCGACCCGCAAAGGAGCAAGAAAACGTCGACTGTCAAACAGAAATGGCACGAAACTAGAAGATCGAGTTGACAATGTTGGAACCAATAGTCGCTCCGGCACCGAAGATCGCTAAACACCAGTCAGAATTCCAAATCAAGATCCTCTGATTGTTGGATACGCACCCGCATTGCCCATCTTCTTTCCAAACTTCTTGCCCTGCTCCTCAAACTTGCTCGGCTTCCGACCTCCCGACGTGGGGGCAGACGAGCCGCTCTCACTGACTTCAAGTGGCATGTTGCCGTAGTTTGTCGGCTGAGGTGCGGCGACAGGAGGGGCGGGCTTCTCATCCAACACGGTAACGTAGCTCCGTGGGAAGATACCTTCCAGATTGGTCCGTTCGTTTCGACCACGCCACCCTGATAGTGTCAGTACAATCAACGGATCGATGGGCAGGCCCGTGACGTACAATCATTGTTCATATGTTCCAGCACTTGGATCCGATCATGCGGCTGCAAGGCCAGGTCTCCAGCATCCGTAGGTGTGTAGGCGTACAAAGCGGAGGCAATCGAGAGAACTGGAGCCGATTGGGCATATGAAGGCGGGGGTGCCGTGCTGGGATACTGGTTTTGGCTTGGAACGGAAGTCTTCTCGTTCAGACTAGTATTCGCCAGCTGGCTCGTAGGCGGGCTGTACGCCGGAGTGGGAGCTGATGTCTGCGCTGGAGCAGACGATTGTGCCTGAGAGACTGGAGCGTGGAGTTGGGTCACATCGGGCAGTTGGGAGAGAATCGACGACAGCTGCTGGGGCGTAATCACTGCTGCATCTGTGAGAAATTCGAGCTCCTTCATCGCCAGTCAGCCATAGACAGTCGAGACAAAGAGGGCCGCGGGGGGATGCCCTACAGCGCGGATGGTACGGAGCGACCGATTGGTCATGGCGGTCGTGAAGTCGCCCTGCGTCGCCATGGCGGGTTGCAGTCGAACAGGGCAGGCTACAGAAGTGAGCGACAGTCTCCCTGGGGAAAGAAAAAAGGACGATGGAGAAAACAGATCTGGAACGGCCGGGGCTGACGGATTGAGAAGGATGGAAGAAGAAGGAGCGTCGAGCGAGGGCGAAGGAGTCGTCAGTCGGCCAGCAGACGGCGCAGCGGAGGCGATGGCCAATCACCCAGTTCTCGGCACAGATAGCCGTCCAACGCGCTCAGCCTCACGAGAACGACGCGAAAAACTGCTTGGACGAATTACTTGGCGGTATTTTCTTATTATTTTTCTTTGCCAGCGGAAGGAATGCGTGGATAGCGTCGACAGGACCGGAAAAGACGGATGCAGGGCAGAGGCTCTGCTCGGAGATGCGTATGTCAGCGATGGATGTACCCACGTTGTAGCTCTGGGCGGGCGCCCGCTAGGAGGGTACTTGTGGGTACTTGGCCTTGGCGGACGCGCATGTCTCACCTCGGATCAATATTTCCTGTCTCAGTAATTGAGGACACTGTTCTATCTCAACGATTTAAGAAATGCCTAGTCTCTGCCAAGGATATAGTCTTTATTATCTACTTTTCAGGCAGGCCTCATATTATATTTCTTTGACCAGAGCCATAATTCTCAGGTTATTTGTTATTGATCAGTATATTCAACCTTGCTTTGCAAGACGCACAACAGTTTGCAACACAAGTTAATTATATTAGGAGTGATATCAGTAAGACTTTGATATAAAAAGATGATATAGAAAGATTATGTATCTTGTTCACAATTGTTATTAGATACCCTCTTAGCATCAACATCATGTTTTCTTCATGTTTCTTCTACAAGTTCGTGCATACTCAGGAAAATACATGTATGCTCCAGTCTTTAACAAAGATAATCAAAGAATTCAGCTATTCATCCTGCCTCGAAGCATTAACTGCATGAAACTCGGTGCCATGGTGGTGAATAGCCTACCTACTCTGTTGTGTTGTGATGTTACGAAACTGAAATTTCATCTCCTTCCATTCTCGTCACCCTTTTCCATCATTCTTCTTAGCTTTCTGTACTGTGATATTATCACAAGGTTATCTTAAATTTCAAGCATTAATTCTGATGGAGATTGAACTCCAAGGACTGGACAAGACTGTTGCACCAGGTCCTTCTGATTGTTCTGACTCGACCACTATCAGGATTCGAGTCGTCCTTTCGCAATCGTCGAGTGCCATGCAAGAGAATCATCCAGTTCATTCAGGGCGCAAGCATACAAATACTACAACTACCCATACCTTGAACATATAAAACATCATTAAACCGCTCAAGAATCCTGCTAATCGCATGTCCCACTTTACCCCTAGGGACTGCCAGTAGTTTCAGAAACGCAGCCTCTGCCCTATGGTCAGATCAAGGAACTGAACCGTGTCAACCAGCATGAGACCTGCCATAGATTCGTCTGCCAAGTCCGGAGGATACAGGTTGAACGTGACTATGGAGGCGTGTGGGCTTCTGACTACCATGAACACAGCACAAGTCGATCTTATTGTCGATGATTGATGGCCGCATTAGTGATCACCCTGTAACACATGCAAGAGGTGTTTATTGGTGTCTTCTTTTTTTTTTTGCTCTTTTCTTTTTCGACCTTCTTCCCTTTTCTATCTCCCTCCCTCCTCTTTTTTTTTATGCTAGCGTATGAAAGAAAGCTAATATGCAATCAAGGTTCTCTTTCTTTGACATGAACGTGATTAGGGTTAATCTGCAAGCTCAATTGAATGCAGTGGCAATGCTGACAAAGCCTTTCCACAGATGCCCGTTGTAGTAAGATGAGCAAAAGTCTGTAGAAATCGGACCATGACTCAATTCCTGTGATGAATAAAAGCAGCTGAAAATTCCTAACTACCTGACTCAATCAGCAACTTGAATGTCATATCCGTCGACGTCGAGTCATCGCTGACGTGGTGGATAGTTGGGGCATTGTTGTCGGGGTCCGGAGATGGCAAAGACGGCCCCCTGGAGATACACCGCCTTTGAGTTTGCCGCCTCCAAAGGCCGCTCCGCCTCTCACGGCTCGAGAAGCTTCTTCTGTGTCATCCGATATAAATATCCCCGAGCTCGACGGATTTTGACAACTCAGTCACGCGATATCGATATCACCGCCTCCCTCCCTCCTCATCCACCATAATCCTTTCTTCCGGTCCCTCTCTTCATCCAACGCCGCAGGGAGACGATTATCCGATAGAACTCATCCGTTTCTCTTGAACGCACGCACCTCACGAGACATCCCACCTGCCGCTGTCTGACCATCATCCCTCCTATCGCCACCGCATCTTAGAAGAACCTCTCTCCTTTCCGAAAGCGTCTCTGTCTGCTACATCAAAATGTCGACCGACTGGGACTCCGTCACCCGCATTGGCAGCAAGCACCGTGGAGGTAGTGCGCCGCGCGAGACCGTCGTCAAGGGCCGAAGCGCCCTGAACGCCGCCCAGCGATCTGGTCTGATCGTTGCAACTGAGAAGAAGTTTTCTACCGGCAATGCGGTAAGTACAGTCGTTTAATTCTTGTCATGATATATATAAGACCAGTATCTGACCAGACTATCGACAGGCCGCCCGCGCCACCGCCGTCGAAGGCCAACACCTGACCAAAGTCGACCGAAGCGACGACATCGTCAAGCCTAAGACGGTAGGCATGCAAGTCGCCGAGGCGATCAAGCGCCGCCGGAACGAGGAAGGGTACAAGATGTCGCAGAAGGAGCTGGCCACCAAGTGCAACACGACCGTGTCGGTGATCCAGGACTTTGAGCGCGGCACCGCCACGCCCGACCAGAAGGTGCTCAGCGCGATGGAGCGCGTGCTCAACATCAAGCTGCGGGGGTCGGACATCGGGAAGGAGAAGTTCCCCAAGAAAAAGTAAATCTGTCATCTATCGTTCTATCATTCTATCTATCGATCTATCGATCATATCTGTGATATGATACGATACGATACGATATGATATGATACGACGATGATGAGGATACCTGGGGGTGAGCTCGGGAACTTTTTCTTGGGGAGACCACACACCTCATCATTTCCTTTCCTTCTCTTTCCGCCTATGATCAGAACTTTTAGTTTCGGATTTTTGATGAATGGCCATACAATACATATGGGTATGAATCGGTCGGAATGAGCGTCGACCGTTGGGGTTTTCTTTTTTTATTATTTCTTGTCTAGAGTACCAACCACCAAACCCTTGAATGGAAGAGGGAAAATAAAAATAGGAAATAATAGAATAAAAAAAATAGGAATCTAAACTGAATGAATTATGAACAACTGGTCTGGGACTATGTTGTCAGTTGATAGAGTGTGGTAGGTGTGTACATGAGATCATAGAAGAGAGAGAGAGAGAGAATCCTAAATATAAAACTGTTCGAATTAATATAGAAATAGACATCTCTGCTAATGTTTCCGATACCGATCCCAGTGGATTCTACCTACGACTCGTATTCCGTGCTCTATCTCTTTTTCTCCTCTCTCTTCCTCTTTTTGAAATAAAGAGAAAATGAGGAGTCTTACCTTCCGCAGATAAAAAACCACCGAATAATATAATAGAAATATGTTTTCTATGGGAAGCTGAAGCAGGGGGGGAAAAAAAAGAAATAAGGAGAAATAGTTTCACATTAGACAACAGCGAAAAAAGATAATGCCATGACTGACTTGATCGCCAACTCCGTTTGATGGAAAGAAATAAGAATGAAAGAAAAAGCATGCATGCCGCGTCACCTTTTTGTCGTCTTGCCTTTATTCCATTTCACATTCCTCATCTCTACCAATCTCGTGACACATCACATACACTCACTGCCGTCCGCCAACTACCGCTTCAACTGTTCCCGCTCGACCTCGTACATAAAGTCAAAGTACGGCTTGTCAAAGTGGTGCACCCGGACGTATCCGTCCTCTCCGCCAGACGCGTACGCGGTGCCCGCAGGGTGGACGGCGATGGTGTTCAGCGGACCGAAGTGGCCCTTCACACGGCCGATCTCGTCCTCGAAGATCTTGTGGTAGAAACGCGCCTCGAACTTGCCTTGGCGCGCCGACGTCGTCGTCACTTCCATGGCGGCCTGGCCACCGCCGAGGATCACGTAGTCCTTCTTCGCCGTGATAGCGGCCGTGTTCAGAGGAGTGTCGGCAGTGTAGGTCTTCAAGACGGCGAGGTTGCGGGAGGACAGGATCTAATCATTCTCTGTTAGCATTCGACAGGTATAGTCGACATTTCTAGGTGCCCTACCTTGGCGGTCTTGTCTCTGGATGCCGTGATAAAGTATGTGCGGTCGGCGGAGAACTGAATGTCGTTGATCTGATAGTCGAATTCGTGGGCTTGGACATTCTGCAGCTGCTCACCCGTCTGTGTTCAAGTCAGGACAGATGCACAAATCAGATAGACATTCTGCTTGCCTACCTTCGCATCATATTGACTGACACTGCCGTCTTCATGCCCCGCAATGATATACTTGCCCAGGTAGCTCCATCCCGCGACCGTGGCCTTGCTCTCGTGGCAGGTGATCTTCAAGCTGGGCTCGTCGGTCTGGTCGTCCAGGTTGTTCCCCTCGCCGTCGCCGTAGCGGATGTCGTACACGACGATGGTGCCCAAGTAGCCCATGCGCTTCTCCGTGACGGCGAGCAGCCTGCTGCCGTCGGGACTGAACTCAACGCGCTTCACGGCGGTGGGGAAATCCCACACCTTGACACACTCGCCCGTCTTGACGTTCCATAACCGCACCGTGTTGTCCGCCGAGCCCGTGGCAACCAGGACCGAGTTCGGACTGACATCGACTGTCCACAACGCACCCTGGTGGCCGTGATAGGTTCCGAGACGCTCGCCGTTGGCGGAGAACCACACGCAGAGGACCTTGTCCTTGGCTACCGAGAAGAGAAGATCGCCATCACGGTTGAACTTGATCTGATTCAAAGACCGTTCCTACGCAAAGAAATCCGGTTAGCGACGACGTTTCGATCACGATCGAACTCGCGGGGAAAACCAACATGGCCTTGAAGGAGGATAGGCCGCATGGCTGGCCGGTCAGATAGCGCTGCTCTGCTTCTTACAGCAGCAGCAGACGCAGACGGATTTTCGTGAGATTTTCAAGCCCTTGCTCTGCTCTGCGACGTGGAACGTCGGCGGGGATGTGTAGCGGGGAATGGAGGTAATCTCTTAATGCTGCCGTCGATATCGCGGTGATAATTTCATCGCACAGTTTGGCTGCGGCGCCAAGAATTCCCGTACGGTAATTTACCGGAGGAAACGTTTCTCCGAGAATAGGGTTCAGCCCTGACGGCAACCCTAAATCGGAATTAGGAAGTAGGGCATAATCCCCGGCCCCAATCACAAGGCTCTCCGATCTATCAGGGAAACGACTCTTCACTCATTTAGTTTCATTTGTGTCTGGGACGATATATCCCAGATCAATAAATTTGATATTTTATGTACAGTACATGTACACATACGACGACCTCTGTCGAGATTCCTACAGATTGAATGTTTCACGACCCTTCTCGTTGATTTACTGCTTCAACCTCCTTGCGTGTGATGACATCGTAGGGGAGGGGTGGGCACTGGTTGACAGTTTGCCTGTGGGATGATGTCCTTATCCAGTCTACCTAGATATGTTCTAAGAGAGAGAATATGCAGGCAGGCCACTAGGTGAGCTCGTCCAAGAGAACAACTTGGTTGCAGTACAGAAGAGGATAAATAAAGTATTGACTCGCAGATGACTGTCATTATATAGAAATATCTAAAAGAGGCCAATATTATAAACTGCTTCTCGTTATTGCATTAAATATTATTGCTGATTCCAGCATTAGGACGATGTTGACCCTCCTATGTCATTGTGCCCTTTCTAGTACAGCATAGAGGAAGTGTCCAGGAAGGTCGCCGGGATCTACAGGTGAACCGGACCGGAGTATCAAATTGTCCTTTTCCTAGACAAATAGAATATGTAGCTATATTTTTAATTATTTTAATTCATAGTTAAATTATTTGCTGTTTTTTTATTTTGGATTCGACTGTTTTCTATTTTTACTAATGATAGCCTGTCTACAGTAGAGGATGGTTTTAGCAGACTAAATAAAGCAGGCGGAATTTTTGCATGATATTTAGAATACATACCTAGTCAGTTTCCACTGAATTGAAGAAAAGACGAACGTGCATATACCAAGGTATGTAAAGTAAATGGCCCCCACATTGCATGCACTGGCACATTGTCAGTCAGTGGAGTCCATCATCTGAGTCCGGAATTAATCTTATGCTGAGTAGAATCTAAACTTTGGGCAAGGCTTCTCTAGCCCGGAAAGACGGCACAACAAGGAGGTATTATTCATTCGTCTTGCAACATCAATCAATGCGGATATTAAGTTACATCCATGGATACTCCGTACAGTAGTAAGTACCTAAGGTTAGTAGGTAGGTACCTGGAGGTCCATCTCCCCTCCTCCCACCCCACCTCACTATGAATGTACCTAGGTACATACGCTCTAGTATTGAAGGCAGGTAATCAATCAATCAATCAAATAATCAAATTACAGGAAGATTATTTTTTTCTCCCCTTTCCTCCCTGATTACTATTACTTAGTACGCGAGAATAAAATCAAAGAAAAAATAGCATATAATACCTGCCCCTTTTGTCTAGACTAGACGATCGTCACCTTCGCATCCGATTGCATCGGGATTTCTGATTGCCGATGGAAAAAAGAAACAAGCTTTGGACGAGTATACTCCAGTGTACTAAAAAGGGGGTCCACCTGGCAGCGGGAGGTAATACATTCAGGAATAGATTCCAGAATAGTGTATAGTGACATGTCTCGGCGTAAGGCTGCCGAGAGCTCAGTGGGGAAATAGATGAAGTCTATCTAGGCATAGAAGATCAATATATTATTGCTCCCTCTGGGGAAGAAAAGAAGAACTGACTAGGAGCCGGCGTTGAGGTCGGCTCTAAATCTGCGTGGCCGGTTTGGCGGTCACGTGGTAACTGACAGCTGATTGGTCAGACCTGGCAGCTGCCTGAATGCCGTATGGGTCAGGCACCAACACACCCCCCTCAGCGCCAGGGCTGGCCAACAAATTCTACATACATGAAGTCCTTTCCAAAGGTATTTTGACTTGACCAATCCCATTGTTCCGTTTATTCGTCGTTATGGTCGTCAGTTCCATCATCCTTGACGTCCACTTTGTGTAGACCAATCAGATCCTTGAAAATTGTAAACTTCTCGTGACTTAGGGCTTTAGTGAGCCCGTCCGCAGGATTGACATCTCCGTCAACTTGATCGATTTGAATGAGGCCGTTTTTGACAGCATCCTTGACAAAGTAGTATCGATTATCAATCCACCGGTTGACGGAGTTATACGTTGGTCGTTGGATAATAGAGATTGCGTTCCGACTATCTGTATATATGGGCACTGGCCCATCTTGGTGGAATCCAAATGCGGTTATCAGTTTCCTGAGCCATAAAGCTTCTTTGGTCGCGGCATCTAAAGT